AGCCGCAACTTGGTTATTAGTTTTATGATTAAAAGAAAATAATTTCATACATTGCACACGTTTTGTATTTGGTGCTCCAGAGATCAGTGCTGCTATCTTTCAGATATGAAAATTCAAAGTTTGAATCTTCCTGCTTGGAGGGTTTCTGCAGATTTCCGTCACACCTGCCTGTTAGCTGGAGATTCATTGGTCGTAGGTGCACGTGGTCGCACGTGGACCCACTCTGCACTGTGTGGACACAGACTGAAGCTGCACAAATGACAAAACATGCTTATGAACTCATAAATAATGAGTCAATTTTTAAAAATGTGCAGTGCATTGTGACGTTGTGAATAAACGGCAGTATGTGCAGTTCACGTCTAAATGAATAGTTAATGTTACATGCAGTGCTACGTGTAACCTCTGGGCGCCGTGGACAGTGTGGACGTATTTTTAGAAGCAGAGCGTTGCGCTGTTTGCACAGTGACCGTCGGCTCAGCGATCGGTGCGCTGAAATGACGGCTGCCCTGCGTTTAACCCCGAGGTTAATGTCAGCATACGGAGCTTGATGTTTGTGATCCACAGATGGAAAAGAGCACATGTGTTTAAAAAAGAGAGAAAAGTGTCTGCACATGTGTACGCTTTTATCATTTCATTGGACTGATCGTGTTTTATCAGAGCCATCTTTTTCCTTTCCCACTCTTCTGTCATCCTGCTTCGGTCCTTTTTCTAACTTTTTGATTTTGAAGCTGTTTCTTAACAATTCAAAGCACCAAATAATGAAAATAAGACGCTAAAACCAAATCCCTCGTTCTAATTTTCTCTGAGCTGCTTAAGCACCAGGCTGGATTTACTGTAGCTTATCACGTATCATTTAAGGGACAATTTATTTATTATCCTAACTTAATAATGTCACATTTTCCCATGAATGCAGTCTTTTTGAATATGCAAAGAAAAGCTTTGGATTCGTGCTGCAAAGATTGTGGAGCATTAAATAAATTTTATGAAGCACAAAAGAACTTCTCATCTTTTCCGTGTTCGCAGTTCAGGGTGACTTGAGCTAATGTAAAACCTAAGAGACCATCAGCAGTGAGAGCAGTTTGTTGGGTTCAAAATGTCATCATCTAATAACTGATTAAGACATCAAGATTCAAATTAGTTTCATTTAAATACTGCCAGTTCACAAGAACAGCCACGAGGCTCTTTATATGTTTAGGTAATGAGCCTACAGGCTTATATGGAAAAACCCACTTGGTGATAGTGCAGCAAACGGGACCAATCACAAACTACGAGACAGAATTACACATTTGCTGGATCGTGTGAGCGCTTCGGTTCGCTGTCTGCTGGGAGTTCAGTAAACAGAGCTTAATACAGCTCAAGTACACAGACTGAGTCGCATGACGCACCAAATCAAAGCAGTTTAATGGCAGGAAGCATGACAAGATCCCTGCAGACTAGAAGCTGGTAGTCATGATGAAACACACCACAGATGGAGGCTCAGCTGAGGCATCCAGGTAAGGTGGAGATGTGGAGGAGGTGAGTTGCATGAATGAGAGTCTGAAATGCAGAATAACAGAATAGCAGTGAGATTTAAAGCACAGGGAACAGAAAACAGGCAAAACGATTATTGGATCAAAGACGACAGAATTGAGTTTGACAGCGTGGGAAAGCGGAAATGACGAAAGGAACAGAGCAGCGGCTCAAACGCTCAGGGCTGCAGGCAGGTAGGATGTGCCAGCTATTCCGTTTTAATGGCCAGCAGGGGGCGCCTGCTCTGAGTACAGGAGTCATCCTGCTCCTTGGATCTTTGGCCTCAGTAAAAACTTGATCCTGATCAGTCCTGCTGCTCTCAGCCACGAGGCTTAACTCCTGCTGAACGTCCTTCATTCAGTGCAGCGTGACCCTAATAACTGCAGAGGTAACGGCGGAGCGTGTCGACATGCTCGGGTTTGATTTTGGAGCTCAGAGCATCTGACTCAGCTGACTTTTCTGTTTAACTAAAATTAAGAAAGACTCAGACTTTTGTTTCCATACTGTCACATAGTGCACTGGTGTCCTTCCACTCTCACACATGATATCCATGAAACCAGAAGCTATAACTTAAGATGCACGTTTAAGGAAACCAGTTAACAGAGTACTGCAAGAAAAACAAAACGGCTCATCGCTCCAAAGTCATTGGGGTATTTGTCTCTATCAGCCGTTTGACCCTGGTGGTGTTAGTCTCTGCAGTTACCTCCATCACTGGTCGGCCAATCACGACCTTTAAAAACTGATCATTTATGTTTAAATTTGGTTGAAAGATGAAAAGACTTACAAACACTTCAGTTCAACCTGTTCTGACATCTTCATCATTTCTCTGCTGATCATCGTCTGAATGGTAGCTGGCTGTCAGGGCTGAAACCGCATTAGAGTTTGCAGGAGGGCGTGGTCTGTGGCGCTGCTGCAGGGAGGCTCAGTTCATCACCCCTCCCCTGCATTTAAGTCTGTACTGCGTCCTGAGTATGTGAGGCTGGAAGCTGAAACCACATTAGAGTTGTTTCAAGATGACGTTCACCCCTCGGCCATAGGCTGGTCCTGTCCTGGTACTGTCGCCGCCCCGCTGGGCAGCCAGGTGTTCGCAATAAGTCGAGAACAAGGTAACATAGGATTTTCACATTCATAACGGTGCAGCTCCTAAAAATCTGGAATGAGTTTAAATCTCAGCGAACTTGACCTCAAGGCCGAGGTCAGGTTTTTTGAAAATCTTGTGAACATAACAGCTCAGTGATTTTCAAATTCATCCTATTAGTGCATCCACAGGGAGGCTGAGGGGTAGCACCGGGGGCCGTCAGTGTTTTTATAACATGAACGTTCTGGGTTTGAATCGGAGCGTCATCTGAGGAGTTTGTAGAGTGTTGAGGACGACACACTGATACACACGGCTCAGCAGCTGTGACAGAAAACGTATATAAACACACACCCGGTCCAAAGCCAAGTTCAGCTGTGGTCTGAGGTGGTGATGAGTGTTATGGACTACGGTAAGTGCTAAATGTGCACTTAGTGGCTCTGTTGTTGTGGTCCGAGAGGTCAGGAGCAGAAAAAGCTCCATCGAACCTGCTTTTGCAGGGTAAAAACATCAGGATGTGCCAGATTACAGGATGTGGGGGGGTTTGATGCACCAGCGATAGAAGGCGGAGGCCTGCAGCTCTTGTGTGATGCTGTCTTGTCTTGTGTAAACAGTCGGCTAAAGCCGTGTTTATTATCTACGTCCGAGCTGCCGGGAGCTGTCAAACTGCTTCATCGGAGGTGGATTCAGATGGGAGCAGTGTGCGCTCGATGTGCCGGTGACATTCAGCTGTCACACACTGTAAGTGCACCACTGCGTAAAGTGAGAGATGGAGTGCTGCTGAAGTGCTGATACAGTCATTTATGCAGAGGGTGTTGAGAAATGGACCGAGGATACAACCACGAGGGGCTCCGGCACTGATGTTGCTACGCCTCTTCTGACAGCCTGCGATCTTTTAGTGAGATGCACTTCGCCGTGCTAATGTGTCACGCAGCACACTGGAAGCATCGTTGAAAATGTTTCCTGTAATGCACAAAAACTAAGAAATAAGAGGCTGGATTGGAGTCGTTTAAAGCAGCCCAGAGAATACAGAATATTAAATCGCTGTAAAGTTTTAAACACAGCTGCGGGGTATGAATATAACCAAAGGATGAAAGACAAAAAGAATTTCCCCCCCAATAAATCTCTTCTTCTCTCAAGAGTTTCAAAACAGAGGCAGCGAGTGTTTTTAAGAATGAACTGCATGGAGAATAACAGAGAATAATAATAAAGAGAGACTGTTATGAGGCAGCAGATGAAAATATAAGTGGCTTGAGACTGACGGAGAAACACTGGGGCAGCGATGACTCGGGGCAGCGATAACCAGATGGAGACTAGTTGTCGGGTACGGTGAGAGAGGATGTGGATAAAGATTTGCAAACGACAGAAACACAGACAGAGGTCAGGTAGGAGACAGAAACCAAAGACTGTGGGGATGTGGGTGCAGAGGGAGAAAGAGCAGAGGTACCAAAGAGGGAAGACATGCAGGAGAGAAAGCAGAAAAGGGGGAATAACGGGAAAGAGGAAGAGTAGAAAGTGCAAATGGATGATGGAGATGTGCCAGAAAAGAGAGGAGGAGGAACACGAGGCAGGGAAGCGGGAGGAGGGAGCGATTAGGCTGAGTGAAAAGTAGAACAGAGGCGAAGAGGAGGAGACGCGTCTGTGATACAAGTGTAACTAATGTGTGTGAAATCACCAGGCGGCCGCCAGCTACGGCTCAGCTGGGAGATCAGCTAATCTGGCACTCTGGCTGTTATTAATTAATCAGTTACTGTATGCCGCGGAGGGAGGGGGGGTACGTGAGCAGAGGGGTAAGAAGGAAAGAAGTGCTTCCCTGAGTGAGGGAGGGGCGAGCGAGCGGGAAGGTAGCGTGGGATGAGAAGAAGAACAAAAGCGTGTGTGTTGCTTTAAAACTCTTGACTCCAGGCTGGAGACGCAGCTTTCAGTTCTAGTGAAGAAATCCCCGATGCTCAAGATTATGTACAAGTGCTCAGGTGAAACGAGGTCTTTCTTTGTTCCACCTGAAGACGTGAGGAGGAGGTAGAGGAGGTCATCTACTGATGGAAGGACGGTGGTTCGATCCACGGCTGCTCCAGACTGCAAAGAGGCAAAACGCTGAACCAGAGTTCCTCCTGAGTGAATGTCGGTAGAAAGACTGAGCTGTGTTGTATAAGGCGCTTGGCAAAAGGAAGACCTATTTTATCCAGGCCACATTTGGAAACAGTAATCCATGCTTTTACTTCAAAATGCTGCTGCACTGAGCTGCTAGGAGGTGAGGTGAAGGCGAGGTGAAGGAACAAAACAAACAAACAATAAAGTCCATTCATTTAATTTAGAATTCAAGTTTATTTATATGGCTTCAGTTGCAAACAACAGCTGATGATGATGATCTCATGATCCCCTTTGAGCAAGCGCTTGGCAACTGTGGGGAGGAAAAACTCCCCCTTGGGAAGCAGTCTTCCAGCGGGTACAGCGGGTGATTTTATTTTTAAAGGATTTTAAATTTAAACTGTGATTTTTAGAGTTTTCATCTTCCAGCTTTGAGCTCACGTGTTTTGAAGTGAATCGCTCTACCTCGGTGCTCTTTGCTGTTATTTATCGTATCCCTAAATAGAATAAGAACTTCATAAATTACCTTTCAGAATCATGTTTTTATTGTGGGAGGTTTTAATATCCATGTCTGCTGTCCAGACAAACCTCTGGTGAAGGTGAACCCGGTCCCACACACGAACACGGAAACACACCAGACTTGGTCTTGTCACACAGTCTACCTGAGTCAGACGTGGAAATATCTGACGCTGCATTTTCTGAAGCTGTTTTCATGAAACCACCGCACATGTTGGATCATTAACCCTTCCACTGCTGTCCAGTTCTCCTTTGCTTTTAGCCAGCTGTCCCCGCTGACCTCACTCCCTTGGACACAGAGGACCTCAACTCCTGGTTTGAATCTTCTTGCCTTACTATTCTGGACTCTATGGTACCATTAAAAACCAGGCAGCCCAAGGCTAAAACTGAGCCTTGGTTTAATAACACCACTTGGGCTGTGATGAGGAAGTGTCATAGAGCTGAATGCAGATGGACAAACTGCAGGTGTCTCTATCAGGATACGGTCAAAGAGGCTAAAAGAAAATACTTCTCCAAGATAATTTCCTCCAACAGTCATAATCCATGTGTGTTATTTAACTTAATGACACATTAATATCTGGTGTGGTCCCTGCTAATTTTAAGCATGCAGTCACTGTATTGGCTAACTACAGACTATCTCCAAGCTGTCTTTTATGTCTCAAATCTTAGAGAAAATTGTATATTTCCAGTTGATGGATTTTTAAAATGAGAATGGTATCTTAGAGGTCTTTCAATTAGGCTTTAAAAACCTTCATAGCACTGAGTCAGCAGTCTTAAAGGTTTTTAATGATTTCCTCCTTTCCTGCGATTCTAGTAATCATGTTGTTCTGGTCCT